CTAAAACAAATTTGTATAAATCTAATACACAACTTTTGGCAACCAATTTTTTTTAACGATACCCATTACTTTATAAAGATTCAAGTTCAATTTTTTAGCACGAATAATTTTATTGCAATTGGACTACTACCTCTGTCTTAAAAACACTTCCGTCTTAAATTTTTGCACACCCTATCAAATACTTTTACCCTGCCTAAAATATCTAAAATACCTCCAAAACAACTTCTACCCTCAATAAACTACCATTTACATAATGAAATATAATTTAGATATTTTAGGTGAAAGTAAAAGTATTTTATGGGGTGCACTAAGAGTTATCGTTTGAAGGCAAAGATACATATGCCAGCATGTGAAAAGTATAAGAAAACTCACATTTTATATTTGTATATTAGGACCTTGAAATCACAACTCTCGTTTGAGATGTTTGAAAATTTGGGACAGTAAAGTTGAAATCACCAACATGAGATTGAACACTACGTGACCTTTCATTTGGTAGAGTCGCCTCTGTACGATTCAATGATTGAGTCTTTTTTCATATTCAAGTTTAAACTAAAATAAAAATTATTTATTTAAAAACTACTCCCTCTGTTTACAAAAACGATGGGCCGAAACACACTTTTTGGGCCCAGCTCCAAATCCAAACCCGTTTGCACCATTGGATTCGTTTCGTCAAACCCTACTCAAGGTATAAACCTTTTTGTCAAGCAAAGAATATTTCAAAATTACATCGAGTCTGTCTCAGTAATTAATTAATTATTATTAATTAATTAATTCTGATATGTCGGGTTTCAGGGCGTTACAATTTGACTGACATTATCCTCCCTATTTGTGGCCTTCGTCAGGTGACCCGCTCAGTCCACTATCTTATGCACGGAGGGATTATCTTTCCTTCTACAGAATTAAGAACAACAAGGTCTTATACATGGTATTCGGGTGGCACAGGGATTATAGCTCCATGCATAAACCATCTTCTATTTGTAGATGATAGCCTTCTTTTCTTGAAGGCTACATTTGAGTAAGCGAGAGAGGTTCTTTGGGTGTTATCAAAGTATGAATGACTATATTGGCAGGTGATTAATTTTAATAAATTCGTCATCTGTTTTAGTCAGAACACTTTATTGGGGGTACGTTCGTGGTTCACCAATTTTTTCGGTGTTCCCCAAGCCAATGACTTTGGGAAGTATCCGAGTCTACCTTTGTTTATTAGACATAACAAGGTGGGGGGTCGATCTAGGAGGGAGCCTTCTCAGGAGGAGGCTCACCCCTGGTCGCACTAGATATAGGCTATGCCAATTGCTGATCTATGAGGCGTCCACACGAGTCTTCCCCATGGACTCTTTTGCTGGAAGGAGAATTGACCACCATCGTCCACAACTCCGCCGCGGGGGTCGATCGGTTCCCCTTGATCCTTCACATTAATCACCACGTGATTGAGTGGGGAGTGAACCTCATGGCTCAAGGACTCGTCATAGGAAGTAGTGTTCCGCTTCCTTTTCTTCTTTTGGTCCTGCACGGTGAGGCAACGCAGCAGCTGATACAGGTCTATGTCACTTTCCATCTCCTCTTCAAGCTCGACTAGAAAAGGCAAGGCGACCAATGGGCAACTGATAAGAAATAATGAAGGTAAAGCAAGAGAGAGTTAGCCTAGGGGGGTTACCGAAGGGACCTGAATCGGCGCTCCTCCCGTGGATGTCCCTTAACAAGGTCAATATGGCGATGATCGTCTTTGACAAACTTGAACCCAAGCTTTGCCAAGGACTCATCAGGGACCACCAATCTGATCTCGACAGAACCCCTTGACAGAGCTTTTTTGTGTCAGCCAAGAGCTTGGTCGTCGCTGATGGAGGCTAGACACGACGGAATGAGGGGTGCCTAGAGCCGATAAAGGGAGATTTGGGCCTAGTAGAGATAAAGATAAAGAAGGGCTTTGAATCTTTGGTGGACCCGTTCTTGTCGCATGCAAAGAGCTTGATCATCCGTTGGGAGAGGAAAGCGTAGGAGGCCCATTTCTTGTGCCCCTTGACGAGTTTGAAGGTGAACAAGAAATGCTCCAAGTTGGGAGTAACTCCCGCTTCCTATCACTTGACCAGGTAACCCGCTATGTATCGGTGGGAGTTAGTGACTAGATGGCAGGGGAGGTGGTCTACCTCATTCTAGAACTCCAAGAGCAGAGGGTGCAATGGGAATTGTAGGCCCCTCTTCAAGGAAGCAAGGTGTACATTGAAGAACCGCTTAGGGGTGTCTAGGGCGGTCTCAATCTTACTAAGTCGCCAGACCTCAATGGCGGGTCCAACCATGTGAATGGCATCAACGAGGCCCTAGTTTGAGATTTGACAATGGCACAAGGCCATGATGTTCTCCCCATGTTCAACCCTCGGGCCCAATAACTTGGGCTTTGGAGGGGATAACAATTTCCTTAATCGCCGACGTCCCCTACCAGATGCAATTGCTGATGACCGCCGACGTCCCCTACCAGATGCAATTGCTGATGACCGATATGGCAAACCGGAGGGGCCATGAGCCTGATCGGGGTTAATCGGCTGGTTTGGAGGAGTGTGGCTAGAAGACGAAGCCAAGGAATCGTACTTTGAAAAGGACATTGTAACGAAGGAGGAACTGACCTGAGAAGCACAAAAAATGGGTCGGGGCGCAATCGCAGTTGGGGTGAAGAACAGTGAGGAATATAATGAGGCGCTCCAACGGTGGTTTTATCAGGTTTGGGAAGAAGACGAGAGAACAGATGATGATTGTTTTCTCTGGGTAATCAAGCAACTGCCCCAGTATTGCGGGATGGCTCAAATCTGTTGAGAGGAGGGGTACATGGACATTCAAATTTCCGCATTTTTAAACGTGGCTCGTCTAATGGCCCGCTACCAACCGCGCACCCCAACCCGTGTGCCCATGAGCGTTTTGGAACCCATGGGTATCTCAATGTCAATGTTGGGCCGGCCCAAAGCATTGGGGGTGAGCTGACCCGAGTAAAGGAGCCGTTGGCAACACGCTTGCTGGGAAGAGTCTGCGGTTGGGTTGCAGAAGATGAGCCACGAAATTTGGATTGCAGGAATATAATTAGCTTATGTAATTAATAATATAATTTAATTGCCTTAATATGTAAAGGGATATGTATAAATAGGAGGGATCCTCACACAGATCCTCAAGCTAAACCTAGCGTAATACTTCACAACTCTCGAGTTCTTTCATTAATAATATTCTTGCGATCCGTCCATTGAGTCGGATCATTTGGTGGAATTTTCGTCGATCAAATTTTATATATATATATATATATATATATATATATATATATATATATATATATATATATATATATATATATATATAAAATTTGATCGACGAAAATTCCACCAAATGATCCGACTCAATGGACGGATCGCAAGAATATTATTAATGAAAGAACTCGAGAGTTGTGAANAACAATTTAATGAGATAGTTAACTATAGCATGTTCTTTACGACATGAAAAAATAGAGTTTTGATGTTGGAAAAATCTGGAAGACTTGAAAGAATTGGAAGAAACTGGAAGAACTGGAAGAAACTCGGAGAACTTCAAAAAATTAGAAAACCTAAATAAACTTTTAAATTATTTATTTTAGTGTATTTTTATATTATTTTCCTTCTAATTCTTATTTTTATAAATTATTATTATTATTATTATTATCATCATCATCATCATCACGTTATCCTAATGAATGCCTTTAAGATAAAAAGATTATTGTTATTTTTCATACACAAAAAAACTACTTTTGCAAAAGAAAATTAATTATAATATAAAGTTAGCATAAATATCAAAATGTTAAATTTTAAAAAGTTATTTATGTGGTATTTATTATAAATAATATATTTATAATTATACTTTATATATTACAAGATTTTGTTTTAAATATAAGACATGTCACATAATGTAATCAAACCTATTTCTTCTTTCATGATTCACGTTTTATTTTCATTGTAACTTCTATTTTTGGAATAAAGCGATATAACTTCTTTTCACATTTTTTATGTTTAACACCTTTTTAGTCTTTTTGTCTGAACTATTTTGACTTTCAATTTTTTTATTAAAATTAGATAAATGCGAAAAATTTGAGTAATAAAGGGAAAGGTGAGGGGTCCTATATAAATTAGATTAATAAAACATTCTCTGTAACTATTTTATCCATAATTTTTCAATATAGTTTAAAATATTGATGTTTTCCTGTTATATCATGTTGATTAATATACAAAAATTGTCTTATTTATATTAAAAAGTTGAATAAAAAATAATGAGTGTGAATCATGAAAATTGTGAGATGAATTTTTTTAAATAAAGTATAGTTATGAACATAACAGTTGTAATAGTAAGAATAATAATAAAAATAATAATCACACTAAAAATATTTTTTTAAAAGTAATTTGTTGGGGAGTAGGAAGAGTTGAAAGAAAATGAGAATAGTTGGAAGAAACTGGAAGGAACTGAAAAAACTGGAAGGATTGGAAGTAACTGAAAGAAACTGAAAGTTAAGAGTTTAAACCTTAAAAAACATGCTCTAAGTAAAAGTATTATTATTGGGATTAATACACTCCGATCCCTCCGTCTCACAATACATTACTCATTTTGAATAGTATTTGGTCAGACAGTTACACGCTTTGACTACAAATTGTGAAAAAAAAATATTGAATTATAATATAAATTTAATATAATTAGATTCATCTTAGGATCTAGTTTAGATATACCAAATTTTTATAACATTTCTTTTTTAGTTTATATTTAATCTATGGTCAAAGCATGTAACTATTTGACCAAAAATATATTAAAACGAGTAATGTTTTTTGAGACGGGGGTGTATTATTTAAATGGAAGAGATAACAATGAGTTACCCTAACCTAAAAATAGCAAATCGCACTACACTTCCACACGTAACATAAAGGTGTAGCTATATATATATCACACCAGGCATATACTTAGAGTAGAACTCATAAGATCTAATTAAGTCCGCCAAGAACACCACAAATTCAAGAACTTAATTATCAACCCATACAATGGCGAACGAGGATGGTGCAAACAATTCCAACAAAAATTTAAAGTGGAAGGTATTGACACCTGCTGTCCTTCTTACCCTCTGCATCATCGGTGTCCTTGTTTTCATCTTTCTCGTCCTCTTCGCCCTCTTTCTTACTTGGCTCATCCTTCGCCCCACCAAACCCGCCTTCGTCCTCCAAGACGCCACCGTCTATGACTTCAACGTCACCACAGTTGTCCCTGGCATCATCGCTCCGAACCTCAACGTCAGAACCGACATCCAGATAACGATTGTCTCCACCAATCCCAACGCACGCGTAGGGGCGTTCTACGACCAACTCATCGTCTTCGCTGCCTACAAAGGCCAGCAGATCACCACCCCCGCTCCCCTCCCTGAGTCTTACCAAGGACACAAAGACATCACTGTTTGGTCGCCTTTCCTCAGTGGAAAGTTTGTGTCCTTGCCACCGTACCTCGGGGAGGAGCTCGTTGTGGATGAGAGTGCTGGGATGGTGATGATCAACTTCAAAGTTGATGGAATGATCAGGTGGAAGGTGGGGAGGTTTCTTTCCGGGAAGTACCATCTTCATGCAAACTGTCCGGCTTATTTGAGCTTCGGAGAGAAATATAGGCCAAACACCATTTTAGTTGGGTCAACCGCCAAGTATCAACTCATGCAAACTTGCCATGTTGATGTTTAAACAATGAATTAAATGTATAAGTGTGTATCGTTTTGTGTTATCGTAATGTTGTTAATTATTAGTTTGTGTTCAGAATAAATTTTATTTGAGCGATTAAACTTTAATGAGAAACTATTGTGTGTTCATCAAAATTTTGAAAAAAATATGTGCTTTGTTTAATAAAAACATATATCATGTTTGTTTTTATTCATGATCTTTGAATTGATTTAATTGATTTATTTTTTAAGGAATTTATTTAAATAGCACTAAAACATAATGACTTTCCCTAAATAGCACAACATGTGTTTTTCTTCCCAATGTAGCACTTTTAGTCATTATGCATTAGTCATTATTCAAGTAAATATTCGTCATCACAGGACATTATGGACATTATTAAGTGCTATTTAAGGAATAAAACAATATAGATGCTATTTAGAGAAATGACTTAAGTTTTAGTGCTATTTATTGTAAATATTTCTTATTTTTTTTCTATTTATTTAAATTTTACTATGAAATTTTATACTCCCTCCATCCCCCAAAATCCATATATCTTCCCATTATGTGTTACGAGGTTTACCTGACTTTATTTTCTAGTTCAATTTAATCGATTCTATCTAGATGTAAAATTTAAATATAAAATTTATATAGTAAAAAACTAAATGAAAAATGATACTTCATTGAACATAAGATTAATTGTATTACTCAACAAATAATAAAGTATACAACAAAATATATATGGAAAAGAATACAAGCAAAACTAGGAATAGGAATATAGTATAATAAAAGAAGCTGACTAAAACACAAAGACTGTCAAGTTGAACTGCGTATATCAAGTCGAGGCTTGGATAGAAGATGCTGGAAACATGGTATGTGAAGGGAAAGACTTAATCAGCAAGTCTGCAAGCTGATCTTTTCAAAAAAAATATGAGACACACTCATAGTGCGAGCAATAACCTATTCATGAACAAAGTGATAGTCTGTTCCCAAATGTTTCATCCATTTATGGAACATAGAATTTTTAATAAGATAAATGGTATATTGATTGTCAAAAAGGAGTTAAGGCACTGATATGGAAACACGAATATCAATCAAGACATATGTTAGCCACATAATCTCTGTTGTAACTAAGGATAAAGCTCGATCGATACTCGACCTCAATCGATGATTCGGACACACGAGTTTGCAATTACATACTTCAAGAGACCAGATTTGGTTTGAGATATATAGCTATAATGCTTCCATCAGTCATGTCATTAGTTCACTCTAAATCAAATAAGCTTTGAGTTGTAGGTCACCAGGCCAAAAAATGAGACCATAATTAAGAGTGCCTTTGACAAAATGATGAATTCACTTTAAACTCTGGATATCATTGTTAGGAGCATGCATACGTTGACACACATAGTTCACAATGAATTGAAAGTAAGGATGTGTAGTAGTAAGATACAAAAGACAACCAATAAGACTCCGAAACAAAGTGCGATCATAAAAAGGCTAAAATTCCATCTCCAATTTACGACTGCTAATCAAACTAGTAGAGGAATGGTGGTCGATTTGTAGTTGTCTAGACCAGCCCAATGGAATAACTCAAGAGCATTTAATCTAGGACACGACAAGAGTGGACATAGTTTGATTTATCACCAGAGCGAAAAAACAATGAAAAGGACCAAGGTCCATTATTTTAAACTTCTAACACATACGGTCAATAAAGGCCTAAAAAAGAGTAACAGAACTACTTGTAACAATAACATTCTCAACATAAATGAGCAAAATAAGAGTGCCCATGGGGCCATATATGATGAAGAGACGTGTATCATGCTTGTTTTTTCGAAAACCATATGCATATAAGAAAGGAGACAAACACTAAGTACCACGCTCGAGGAACCTATTTCAAGCCATACAAAGACTTGGTGAGCTTAGTGACATGGTGTGTATCAAAAAAGCTGAATCAACAAAACTTGGTGGTTAAGCCAAATAGATATCATCATCAACTTTGCCATGTAAGAGTGCATTGGACTCATCAAGCTAGTATAAAGAAAACTGATAGCTAAGAGCAAGAGAGAAGAGAACATAGATAGTGTCAAGGAACCATCTTAACCAAAAGCTCAAGCTCATGGTTGTGGATCAGGAAATGTTTCTTATATTCTAACACGCCTCCCTCACGTGTAAGCGTAGTCTTTTTTCGATCTTTGCACGTGAAACCTTAATTTTTTTTAAAACTGGGTGGTGCTGAGTTTCGAACCCGTGACCTCTTACTCAACAAGGCTCTGATACCATGTCAAGGAACCATTTTAACCAAAAGCTTAAGCTTATGGTTGTGGCCCAGTAAATATTTCGTATAGATAGTCTTCTAAACTACCACAGGACTAAAAGTGTCATAGTTATCCACGCAAAATTTTTTTTTATAGCCTTTGGCAACAAGATGTGCCTTATAACGAGAAATAGATCCATGAGCGCTATACTCGATCTTGTGTATCTTCTTACATACAGTCAATCGGAGCCCAACCCAAAGGGTGACGAGCAAGTACCCATGTATCATGTTTAATAATCAAAGCGTCATATTCTCCATCCATAGCATGACGCCAATAATATTTTTGGAAGCCTATCGAAATGTGTTAGGTTCAGTGTCGGTAGGTTGATTAAAAGGGTAGTGGTATAAATCTTGGGTTTTTTAAATGTCGCTTTTAGAACGAATGGTCATGGAGTCAGTGGGTCGTGAAGTGATGGTGGATGTAAAAGAGGTTCCATGGAGAGGGGTGTAAGATCGGGTAAGGGGCTGGGTAACGAGATGGGTGTTAGAGGGGCTAGGTTGTGGGTAAGGTATTAGGCAGGGTGGTAGCGAGGTAATAGGGTGGGGTGACGGTTGATCCATGTTTGCTGGAACTAGTGACACGGTGGGAGTGGGAAAAACGGGAAGAACATCAAAGTATGTGGCCAGAGAAACAAATGATGAACTAGACTATGAGTATGGAACTGAGACTCATTGAAGTGGGCACGAAGTTGTGATATAGGCTCGTCGAGTGGGGGTTGGTGATAACATTGGTAAGCTTTGAAGAGATCCTCGTAACCTAGGTAGACACACCGTTTTAGCAAGGTTGAAGCTTATGATCAGTATCATGCACGACAGTGATGAGGGTAAGCAAGACAACCAAAGACTCGAAGATATGAATAGTCTGGTGGGGTATGATATAAAGCTTCATATATAGATTTTTTTGGGGAGAGAACATTTGGGAATGTGATTAGCAGTTTGTAATTGAAGAAAAAGTTGTATGTTGAGGCTTGAAACTTACAAAACATTGGTTAAACAAACACACACTGTTAGCCTTGGTATCCTAAATTTCATGTTTTGAAGTTAAGAAATAATTTAATTTAGCTAACATTTGTTCAATTGTTTAGGAACACCAAAATCAACTACAATGTTTTGATTACCTTAATGTGTTCCTTCACATGGGATTATCATAGGATACTTTAGAGTTTTTTATTGTTAAATATATTTGAATGATATACTCCCTCCGTCCCGCTATATTCGTTCACTTTTGACTTTTAGAACTATTCATCAAAGCACTTTGACTCATCAAATTTTCTCAATGTGTAAGCCTAAATATAGTCATGTGTGATCTTGTTTGATTTGTCTTAACATATAGATTATTAATATATAATTTCTATAATTTTTTAATATATACAAATTACAAGATAAAATGGATTAAAGAAGTGCATTAGATGGTGTGTAAAAATGAAAGTGGACAAATACTCTGGGACGGAGGGAGTATGTCTAAACACAAGCTCAATATTACTGTACACACATACAAAAAGATTTTTCACTTGGATATTTATTCTTTAAGAAAAAATATATTTTCTGAAAATTTTCAAAAATTATATTTGCATTTATATTTGCACATACAAATGTTATAGCTGTTTTCAATACAAGATCACTGACTTTTGAATTACTCCAATCTGATAAGTATTGAAGAAGTTCTGAGCATTTTACTAAAATTATTTTTGGGCATGCGCACTACATCCCAGGTGGTCCAGGAGTTAGATCATTTCTATGGAATGATCGACCATAGGAGTTAGATCATTTCTATGGAATGATCGACCATCTCTGTGACCGTTGGCTGATTCTAATCAATATACACACAATGGTCGACTGTGACGTTCAAACGGTCAAGGCACTAAACCGTTCTTAGTGTAGATTTTTCCATTAATGGTCTTATTCATCTCCAATGGTTTACTTCTATTAAATATGGTGCTCGGAGCCTCTTAATAGTTATTTGCAAATAAAATGCCCCTAATATATCCCTATAAATATGCAAACTAATTCATTGTTTTAGATCATCAAGCTTTGCTCAAATTTTTCATTCTTTTATTTAGTGTTCATATTATGTATCAAAATCTCTAATATTTATATTAGGATAATTAGAGTCATGCTTGAGAGAAATATTTGAGCACATATTGAGCTTGATCAAAACAAATATACACTCACTTATCTATATATAAGAGAGTTCTAATTGCTTAAGTGATTCATGTTGTTATTTAATATCCTTTAAATCTTCTGTGCATAGTAGAGAATAGTCGTTGTAAAATTTTCAAGCTAGTTGGATACTTCAATGCGTGAAGTATTTTCGATCAAGTGTAAACTTATTGGCAAAATTTTGTGTGCCAAACACTCATTCGGTTGAGTCCACGGTGATGAGACTCTCAAGGAATTCTAGTAGATTGGAAATGTTTAAGGAGGAGTCTTAATGAACTAGAGTAGAGAGTTCCTGAAATACTATAAAATACGGTGCACTTAAATTTACATTTTTTCTTTATTGCGTTTGTTACTCCAAATCTATTTTAACATGAGTATTTTTAAACAAGCATCATTAGGCATAAATAAAAGGGACTTAGTTGAAAAAGTTTTAAACTAATATTAATGCCTTATTCACCCCACTCCTCTAAAGCCTGGGTACATAAACTAACACACAAAATATTAGTTCAACAAACATATAGAGACATTTGTTTAAATGAATCTTGAAATACACATAAATTTGAAACACAGGTAAAAAATGTTTAGTTATTTAACAATGTATTTGTAGCTAAGGATTTACTTACGTGTTCGTCGATGAATGCCATCTCGGTTGAATTTATTGCCTTGTCATCATTTTACACCGACAACATATAACATTAACACTCGTGTCACACGAACAAAAATCCTCCAACACTCACTGATCGGAGTGATCTTCAATAAAGAGTGCATGATTTTGAAAGCCATGACAACTGAGGAAACAAATCAGCAATTGTGTAGTTTCCTTTCTCAAGCACAACTTGTGAATTGAGAATAAGATAATTGCAATGAATATACTGGAATTTGATTTTTATATGGCCAAAACTTATTAATGACAACCAAGGAATCTCTTTATTTTGGTAGAAACATTAGGCTAAATTCAGAATAGTATCAATCAGATCTTCGATAATAATACCATTTGCTTCAACTTACCAAATCGAGTGTTAATTATCATCAATAGCAGGAATCGTTGATCAAGAGTCGATTCTCAAGTGTAAAAGGAAAGACCGATTTTACCCATCGCTCCTGAAGGAAAGACCGTGAAGGAAAGACTGATTCTCAGCTAAAAATACCATTTCCTTTGTAGCAATTTCACCGATCGGTCTAGTAGAAGGAAATTCATACTCTGTTAATCGATCCAGCGATTCTCATCTAGCAATTTTACTTAGCGATCTTATAGAAGGAAATTCACACTTTGTTAATCGATCACTAGGGATTCTCACCTAGCGATTTTGGCGATTCTCATCTAATTGGCGTAAAAGGAAAGACCTAAGTTTAATCCTAATATACTCCCTGTTTAAATAATAGTTGTAAATAGGTTAAAAAATACTCCCTCCGTCTCTGTAAACATTTCTCCTTTCTTTTTTCATCCGTTCCAAAAAACACTTCTCATTTCTATTAAAAACTCACTTTTACCCCTTACTTTTTCATACACTACCTATCACATCATACCTTTTTACTCATAATCTATCCATCAAATCATACTTTTACCCATCACATTAAAGGATATTTTTGGAAATTCAGTACCAAAATACACTCCCCTTTAATTCCTCTTCAAAATCAAAACTCCCATGTTTTCCGGGATGGAGCGAGTATCAAATAGATTCGCCAAATGTCAAAATTCTTTGAACCAGAGTCTCATTATTATAGTAAAGGAACAAATAATCTCTATAAAATGTGTTTTTCTAGAAATGGTCTTTCTATTACTTTAGGGTTTACAAGAACCAAAATGAAAATTTGTTTTCAATTAAAAATTTTCATATGACCAAAAAATAAAAATTACTAATTTTACAGCACATAAAACATAAAAAATTATTTCAAGACACACTCGATTTTTTGGAATGAACTCTCAAATCATACAATATCACAAATATGCTCCGAGGGTCCTTAATATTCATGGTTATATACTTCGAGGGTATATTTCATCCATTTGGCCATTAGCATTGAGAGTTTCATTACTTTGACCAATAAAAAACCAAAAATATACTTCAAGGTACCTCCCATTTTCACTAAAGAACTTGCATGACCCATATTAATAAGTTTTACCTTGAATAATAATTATTTTTTTTAATTTTTAATATAAATCCTTTAATTTCTAACTTAAAAAAATATTATCTTAGTTGTTGTTAAAATACCATTACCTTATTTATATTTTCATCATAAAAACATTTGAAATACAAAATTTATTTTATTAGTTTAAAAATATTATTTAAAATTTATTTTTAAAAAAAATTTAAGTCTTTTTGAAATTTTAATACATTTTTGTTTAAAATTAAAGTTTTTTTGTTAAATATATGTTTAAATTACATATTATAATTTATGTTTAAAATACAGAATTTAATTTATAAATATTTTAAAAATTTAAAAACATTATATATACTTTAATTTATAAATATTTTGAAACTCCAAAGAAAATTATAAATACTTCAAGTTTTGCAACTATAAAGTTGAAATAATTTTTTTAATGATTTAAAATAAGTTTTTGTGATAAAATATAAATAAGACAATGATATTTTTTTGTAGGACCTCAAGCGCTACCAACTCTTCTAAAACCAATTGGTGTTAGAAGAAACGCATACCCTAGCCTTACAGTGCATTCAACTAGACCTGGCAAAACAGAACCGGAACCGATTACCCGAACCGAAATATACGAAACCGAAACCGGAATGATCCGAAAAATGAAGATCCGATCTATAACCGAAAATCCGAAATTATCCGAACCGAACCGAAACCAAACTAAATAATTCATATCCGATTTAAATCCGAAACCGATTAGATCCGAAACCAATAATATCCGAACCGATTAAACCCGAAACCGGTTAGATCCGGACCCGGTAATACCCGAAACCGATAAAATCCGAAACCGATTAGATCTGAAACCGATAATATCCGAACTCGATTAGAACTAAAATCGATAAATTCAGAACTATGTTTACCTTTCAATAAGCATATTATATTTTTAAATTTTTACTTTTATTTTACCATTTGAACTAGTTACATTACTTGCTCATTCCCTCATAAAATGGATTATCTTCTTGAAAAAAAGTACAAATTTTTATGCCTTAAATTTATTATATGTAGAAATTAAAGATAAGTTATACATATAAATGATAACGCACAAACAAATAAAATTTCCGTAATTTTTAAATAGTGAAGTGTGATATTCTTTTTGGGACGAAAGGAATATATATATGATGAATTGTATGGAATAATTAGATTTTATCATAATTTCATCTCATTACAATAAATTTTATTGATTTGAGAGTTAATTTGATTAGTTTCAAACCAATTCACTCAATATTAGTTAATAAAATTAAATGTTAGTGTTAGCATTTTGAAAAGACTCTCTAGCGGTAGCCTTTACTATTATCATTTTCAAATTTGATCTATACCATTACATTTAGGTGTAAAATTAATTATATTTGACTCTATTAAATTTAATTTTCTCTATTTTCAACCAAATATACTCAACAATTTACAAATTTTGCACTCAAATGAATAAAATTCACTTAATTTCATCCAATTTTACTCAATTTTTACCAAATTCTATTCAAATGGAACATAAGACTATTTGAATTTATCTTTTATCCTTTCATTTATATACATAAGTATATTAGTAGATGTGAGAAAATTTTATATTTCAAAACTAAATTTTAAAATCAATTTAATTATATTAAATTTATATCATAATTAAATATATATGCTTTCATAATTTGTAGTCCAACTTTGTAAAATATGACTAAAAAGTCAAAAGAGGAAAATTAGAAAATAGTATATATCCAAAATATATTTGATCCGAAACCGAAATATATCTGAACCGAACTAGACCCGAAACCGAAATATATCCGACTCAAATTGTATCCGAACCGAATTCTATCCGAACCGATTTATAACCGAACCGTATCTGAACCGACTCAAAACCGAACCGAACCGAAAAATGTATAGAACCGAAATCAAATCCGAACCGAAATTTAACCGATCCGAACTGATCCGAACCGATTATAACATATAACCGAAAGATATCCGAACCGAAAAAATCCAACCCGAAACCGATCCGGTTGATCCGATTGCCACCTCTACATTCAACACACAAGCGCCCACGATATTCGATTGTGACTTGACCCACATAGCCTCCGCCATGGGACAATTACTGCACACATGTCCAACATTTTTGACAACAAGGATTATAATAATTTAACTTATGATTGAAAGGATTTATTAAGATTTAATAAAATAATGATTATTCAATGTAAAATTTAATAATATGGGATCTGCAAGTTCTTAGGAGAAAATGTGAAGTACCTTGAAGTAAATTTTGTGGTGTTTAATTGGTCAAATTGACAGAAATTTCAATCCTAATTCCTAAAGACCAAATGTACAAAATGTACCTTCGAAGTACATCACCACAAATTTTAAGGACTTAGAGTATATTTCAGATACTATGAGACCTAAAAATTCTTTCTAGAAGACTAAAGATATCCTAGAGGATATATTCAACATTAACTCTTTGTAAAAAACAAGTTGGAAGACCATCTCAGAAACAAAAATTTATAGGCCTGACCTAAATATAAAACATATTTAAACAATCGGATAAAAACATATTCAAGCTGGTAGAGGTCAAGTTTTAGCTTTTGCTTAAGTTGGTGCTTTGACATAGTATCGGATCCTTGTTGATAAAGAGGTCAAGAGTTAATAACTTACCCCCACCCAATTTTAAAAATTTAGGGTTTCACATGCAAGGTTCAAAAAATTATGTCTGCACATGAGAGGCGTGTTATAGTATATATAAAAAAATTAGGTCACAATCACAAGTTTGAGAGCTTGGTTGAGTTGGTTTTTTGATGCAGATATATATATACCTTCAAAGTACATTACTATAAATTGAATTTTAATGACCCAGAGTATATTTCAAATACTGTGATCCTCTAGAAGAATTTTCTGCAAAAAAAAACATATTGAACATTAACTCCATATGAAAAATAGGCAGGAGGACCATCCATCTATAAACAAAAATTTATAGGGATGACCTAAATAATGTGAAATTATTACCAAATAGTTTTAAAACATATCTCATTTCTCAATTTAATACGTAAACTTTTTTATCTTCTAAGTAATACTTGAATAATATATAATGGTGGTAATAATGTTCAGTGATGGTGGACATTTAGTTTGTAACAATGTCCAATAGCACTAAACTTTTATTTAAACAATAACAATTAGACAATGACAAGTGATACTAATTAGGAAATAAAAATATGTGATACTACATTTTGACAGCTACTATGTTGTAACACTTAAATTTCCCCTAAAAAACATATTTAAACGGTCGGGATAAAAAAACATATTCAAACCTATTTTTAATGCGTAAAATTTGGGTTTAACTTTTTCAAAGAATAAATTCCACAAAAGTTTCCAGTTATAGGTCGTTTTACATATTTAGTCCCTACATATCAAATATTACTAATTTAGTCCCCAATTATTATACTACCTCCGTCCAGAGTATTTGTCCACTTTCATTTTTACACACCATCCAATACACTTCTTTAATCCATTTTATCTTGTAATTTGTATATTAAAAAATTATAGAAATTATATATTAATAATCTATATGTTAAGACAAATCAAACAAGATCACACATGACTATATTTAGGCTTACACATTGAGAGAATTTGATGAGTCAAAGTGCTTAGATGAACAGTTCCAAAAGTCAAAAGTTGACGAATACTCCGGGACAAAGGGAGTATCATTTTTCACGAATGGTCATTTGTTAACATTTTCATTAAGAACACGAATAAAATTGTAAATTCACACTTCTTTCACNTTTAACTTTTTCAAAGAATAAATTCCACAAAAGTTTCCAGTTATAGGTCGTTTTACATATTTAGTCCCTACATATCAAATATTACTAATTTAGTCCCCAATTATTATACTACCTCCGTCCAGAGTATTTGTCCACTTTCATTTTTACACACCATCCAATACACTTCTTTAATCCATTTTATCTTGTAATTTGTATATTAAAAAATTATAGAAATTATATATTAATAATCTATATGTTAAGACAAATCAAACAAGATCACACATGACTATATTTAGGCTTACACATTGAGAGAATTTGATGAGTCAAAGTGCTTAGATGAACAGTTCCAAAAGTCAAAAGTTGACGAATACTCCGGGACAAAGGGAGTATCATTTTTCACGAATGGTCATTTGTTAACATTTTCATTAAGAACACGAATAAAATTGTAAATTCACACTTCTTTCACTACTCAATTAAGCTTTCTCCCTCCCCTCGCATTCATTTCCCAAACTCGCCACTGAGCTTGAAGCTTTGAACCCAAAATCGAAATCATCACTCTTCTCTCAATTGTTTGTCTAACTGGTGGAACCCAAATTCGAAAACCAATAAGCTTCATGGATGAGTTTTAATGTTTATTTCCTTTGCAATTTCTTGAGACTAACCGATAAAACTCATCCACAAATTTTATTGGTTTTGATTTTAGATTCCACGAGGAAGACTAATAATTGAGAGAGGAATGATCATTTCAGGGGTTTAGAGTTTCAAACTCAACAACGAGCGTAGGAAAGAGTACGAGAGGAGGGATAATGAAGCTTAATTAAGGCGAAAGAGATGTATGAATATAAAATTTTATCTAGAATAAATTCCACAATAGGTCCCCAATTATAGGTCGTTTTACATATTTAGTCCCTACATATCAAATATTACTAATTTAGTCCCCAATTATTATATCATTTTTCACGAATGGTTCTTTGTTAACATTTTCATTAAGAACTTGGATAAAATTGTAAATTCACACATCATTCACTACTCAATTAAGCTTTCTCCCTCTCATCGCATTCCTTTCCCGAACTCGCCGTTGAGCTTGAAGCTTTGAACCCAAAATCGAAATCATCACGCACTCTTCTCTCAATTATTTGTCTAAATGGTGGAACCCAAATTCGAAACCAATAAGCTTCATGGATGAGTTTGAATGTTTATTTCCTTTGCAATTTCTTGAGACTAACCGATAAAACTCATCCATAAAGTTTATTGGTTTTGATTTTAGGTTCTACGAGGAAGACTAATAATTGAGAGAGAAATGATCATTTCAATTTTGGGTTTAGAGCTTCAAGCTCAACAACGAGTTTAGGAAAAAGTGCGAGAGGAGGGAGAAAGCTTAATTGAGGAGAAAGAAATGTATGAATATATAATTTTATCTACGTTCTTAACAAAAATATTAACAAAGGACCATTGATGAAAATTGATATAATAATTAGGGACTAAATTAGTATATTTAATATGTAGGGACTAAATATGTAAAATGACCTATAACTGAGAACTTTTTATAGAATTTAGTCAAAAAATAAATACTACTGCACAATAGAAAAACACGCCGTAATTTGTAGTAACAAAATTATGTGTAGGTTAATAATCATGAGATCGTGATGATGATGATGATAATTACGGAGTATAGTATAATAATACTATGTAATAATAATAGTGCTGATAATAATTATAATACTACGAGTAATAATTTAGTAAAATAATAATAATACACTTCAAAAATATTAGTTAATAACAATAATAATTATAATAAGGATGAACTAAATATAATATGGTTGAAGTATTAGAATGATAATATTGCTCATTGAATTATGGAGTACATGATTGAGTATATATATTAAAAGGACTCCTAACACAATTGTGAGAATTTGTATGACTTTGTTTTGGAGGGGTGAGAGTTGTAGAGGTGTTCCTTCCTCTATTTCCTATTTTGGTTCTGCTTTTATTTTTATTTGCTTTGAATTTTTATTAGTTCAACAAAAAAGAAAGAGAAGTGATCGAGATTGATGATTAGAATGAATGATTTGAGAGAGGAGAAAAGTGGATTAAGAATTAGTGATGCAGAAACGATCAAGGTCTGAGATTCTAGTATGGTGAATTGGAGAGAGAAACAACTATCATTTTTACCCTTGATTTTAAAAAGATAGGAAGATGAGTTGAGAGAATTTTAGAGGAGTTGCCAAACTTTAAAATTGAAGGAAGAACATGCACCGTTCTTCTGGTGGGTGGCTAATGGCGGCGGCCGGCTACCAGGGGTGAGCGCAAAGAATTTTAGGTCACTAAGAGCGGTGGCTCCGATAAAAAATATTAGAATAATAATAGTAGTAGTAGTAGTAGTAGTAATAATAATAATAATAATAATAATAATAATAATAATAATAATAATAATAATAATAATAATAATAATAATAATTATAATAATAATAATAATAATAATAATACTCCCTCCGTCCCGGAGTATTCGTCCAGTTTTGACTTTTGGAACTGTTCATCTAATCACTTTGACTCATCAAATTCTCTCAATCTGTAAGTCTAAATATAGTCATGTGTGATCTTGTTTGATTTGTCTTAACATATAGATTATTAATATATAATTTCTATAGTTTTTTAATATATAAATTACAAGATAAAATGGATTAAAGAAGTGTATTGGATTGTGTGTAAAAATGAAAGTGGACAAATACTCTGGGACGGATGTAGTAATAACATTACTAATTGAATTATGGAGTACGTGATAGAAGACATATAGAAAGGAATTCTAACACAATTAAAAATAGAGAATGTAAACTCACTAAAATACTACATCTACCATACATAAGAATATGAAGTTGACTCATAATCAAAGACTACCATAACGAAAATTATTACTATTGTCTAACAAATTATAATAAGGATGAACTCGGGATAAGAATAAAAAAAGTATGATTATACCAAAAGAGAAATTTTTAACATTAAAAAAGAATTCACGTTGTGATTGTTTAGTACCCGAATCACAATATTATCACGCTGCATTTGCCACACCATCGTTGTTGATCACCAAAGTGCACTCGCCAGTCGCCAATATTGATTGATAGTCCACAGGCAGTTGATAGATCGTCACACAAGAAAAATGCTAGGGGTACACCTTTGGTGTACCCCAAATATCCCCCACCCCCTCCTTGTCCACTAAAAAAGACAAAAAAAATAAAAAAAAAAGTAAATAAAAATTAAATAAAAATGTGTGGAAGAAAATAGGGTGGTGTACATTTGGGGTACACCAAAGGTGTCCCCCTAGCATTACTCGTCACACAATCATGTTGTATTGTCTTTACATTTTTAACACACAATTAACACAACACTCTATATCACAATATATTCATATTTAGAATCTGTTATTCAGGACTTAAACTTTTAACTTTCAGTTTCTACTAGTTTCTTATAATATCTTCAAACTATTCTCATTTTCTTCAAACCCTTTCTATACCCCAACTAATTACCCAAAAAAATGATATATATTTCATGTAATTATTTTTATTATTACAAAATTTATAAATTATTTTTTTCATATCCCTATTTTTACGATTCACACTCATTATTTTTTCTTCAAATTTTTAATATGAAATAAATAATTTTTTTGTATTTTAGTCTACAGGATCAAATAGGAAAACATTAATATTTAAAACTATATAAAAAACTTATTGATAAAATAGTTATATAGAATTGTTTATTAATCTAACTTTATATATGACCCTCACTTTTCCCTTTATTACTCAAGTTTTTCTCATTTTTATAATTTTTATAAAAAATGAAAGTCAAAATAGTTTAGAGAAAAAGAGTAAAATAGGAGTCAAACATAAAAAAATGTAAAAAAAAAGTTCTATGCCTTTATTCCAAAAATAAGAGTTACTATGTCAATCATGAAAGAAAAATAGGTTTGATTATATTATGTGACATGTCTAAAATTTAAAACAAAATCTTGTAATATATAAAGTATAATTGTAAATATATTATTTATAATAAATACTGCAAAAATAATTTGAGGAGCAACGTAACCACAAAAACTTTTTAAAATTAAACATTTTTTAATTTATGCTAACTTTATTTTTTAATTACTTTTTTTGCAAAAGCAGTTTTTTTGTGTATGAAAAATAATAATATTTTTAAATTTTAAAGGTATTTATTAAGATAACGTGAAGATGATGATGATGATCATAATAATAATAATACTAATAAAATAATAATAATAATAATAATAATAATAATAATAATAATAATAATAGTAATAATAATAATAATAAGAACAACAACAATTATAATAATTACGATAACAATAATAATAGTAATAGTAACAAGTTTAATAATAATAGTAATTGTAGATAAAAATTAATGCGAGTTCGTTTCTATGGGCTTTGACGCAAGCTTCATTTAAAAATATTTTTACATTATGTTTGGTTCAAAGAATTTGAAAGGGAAAAGAAAAGAAAATGAAGTGGAAAATCATTTTTCGTGTTTGGTTATAGGGAAATGAAAGGAAGAGTGGAAGAAAAAGAAATTGAGGGGGCAAAATGTATCAAGTAATCAAATTCCTTTTATTTTGGTGAAGAAAATGAGAGAAAACCATTTTCTTTTCTTTTCCTTTCAAAATCCTTGAGCCAAACATGGTGTTAATGTCCAATTAATGGCTTGAGAAATTCTTTGACCCTACTATATATAGTGGGATTCAATTGGGATGTTGTTGTTAATAGCTTGAGAAAATATTTTAGCATTGAGACAAAAAAAGAAGAAAAAAATACTCGTATAAAGGTGAATTTGATTGAAGAAAGGGGTGAGATGATGTGATTTGAGAGGAAGAGTGTAAAATGGAGAAAGGAGTTACGAGAGAAGGTGTTTCTTGAAATATTTGTACTCAATAGCACTAAAACTTAAATCATTTTTCTAAATAGTATTTAGATTGTTTTCTTCACTGAATAGCACTTAATAATGTATATAATGATCAGTGATGGCAAACATTTACTTGCATAATGACTAATAGATAACGACTAAAAGTGTTACATTGGGAAAAAAACATATGTAGTGCTATTTTAGAAAAGTCATTATGTTTTAGTTCTATTTACGTAAATTCCTCGGTGCATCCTATCTCACGGCCTTCAAAAAAGAAAAACTAAATTCTATAATCGGTCCCCAGTTATAGGTCATTTTACATATTTAGTCCCTACATATGAAATATTACTAATTTAGTCCCTAATATTATACTCCCTCCGTCCCCCATAGATCTTCCCAATAGCCCTTTTTCTTTGTCCACAATAGATCTTCCCATTTCATTTTTTAACAATTAAAATACCACAACTACCCCCACTTACTTTATTTATTA